GTGTGTGTGTGTGTGTGTGTGTGTGTGTGTGTGTGTGTGTGTGTGTGTGCTACATCATAAGGATCATTTTCCAGACAAACAGTCATGTGGGGACCCAATGCTCCTTATAGGGACCAAAGCCTGGTCATCATGGGCACAGAGGCCGACTTTCAGTGGGGTTTGGGTTTAGGATGAAGGGGCCAGGTTTAGGCTATAGAAATGACTGGAAAATTAATGGAAGTCAAAGTTTAGAGAAAAACCAACATGTGTGTACATATGTGTGCCCGCGGGTGGGCAGGTACAGTATATTACCATACTAATGCCATCCAGAGGAGGTGAAAGGCTGCAAAGTTGATTCCTAAGATGTTCAGGTCCAAAAACCATAACCTCTGTCTTATCTGAGTTTAGAAGTAGAAAGTTAAGAGTCATTCATGTTTTTATGTTTGTAAGACATGCTTGTAGTTTAAGTAACTGGTTGGATTCATTAGGTTTCATGGATAAATATAACTGAGTATCATCAGAATAACAATGGAAATTTATCCCATGCTTTTTAATAACTTTACCTAATGGAAGCCTATATAAAGTAAAAAGGATTGGTCCAAGCACTGAACCCTGAGGAACTCCATGACTAATTCTGGTGTATTAACAGAGATCTATCAGTTAAATAAGACTCAAACCATTTTAGAGCTGTTCCTGTAATCCCAATATCAAGTTCAAGCCTACGTAATAAAATATTGTGATCAATTGTACCAAATGTTTGTCTCGTTTGTCTCTATGTGGCCCTGTGATGGACTTAAGACCTGTCCAGGGTGTACCCTGCTCCTCGCACTGTGACTGCTGGATATGGGCACCAGAGACCCAGGCGACCCTGAAAGGAAGAAGCGTGTACAGAAATGGATGGTTGGATATCTTCAAACTAATGAAATATGGAGTTATTAGTGAGATAAATCCATCTGGATAACAGCAGACTGACTGCTCATAAAATATACGACAAGTCTGGACCACTCGTGAATTTTTTTCGTATCTGAAGAAAATCTTAGAATACGGAAAAATTGGTGAATGCCACAAATTCTCCTAAATCACTCGTACGCACAACTTAAGAACAAATGTGTGCGTTCGAACGGTTCTTGCATGAGGCCCATTGAGCTACAATTTTAGTATGATGATGCTGTAGCTGAGACAGGTCCACAATTTGAACTCCAAGCAATAATTCAATGGTATGTGAGATTCAAGTTTAAAACATTGCTCTTAACCACTGGATTTTATGCAATTTATCTGTTAGCAAAATATCTGACCTATCCTGGGCAAGCTTCTGGCATAGATAGTATAGGCAAATGCTAAGGGCACAGTCCATTTGGGGGTGCCACAAACGGGAGACGAGAGAGAGTATTTTATAAATTTTTATCAGCGCATACTTGGTGTAGTCTGTAGAATAGTCCCTGGTTAGTCTAGATTAAGGGAACTTGTTCGGTGGGTTTCTCAGCCTGCTTTGTAACTTCATGATGTGTTAAACGGTGCTCGCGGCGCCTACAGCTGAAAGGCTGTAAGCACTCTGCATACCTTGAGATTTTC